GTCGACCTCTAAAAATGTGAATATCCAATTTCGTTATCCAATTCTTTCCTTAAAAAATAAAAGCTATGTTCTCAATTTGTGAACGCCACTGACCGTTCAGTTTTAGCCTCAGGCTCAAGCAAATAAGCATTTGACCAGTAGAGTGACCAACTTAGGAAGGTGACCGACAAACTGGGCTAAGTTCGAGGCCGTGGACCTACGAACTTTCGGAGTGACCTCCGCAGTAGTTCTGGGTCAAGTTTGATGACATGAAATTCCTGAATAAATCCATTTTGTTGTCCAGAGAGCGTCGATAGTAACGGTCAGTTGAACTTTTGACGCCCACGCACTGTTTTCAACACTGACCACTGACGCGGGACTGACTGGCTGACCAGTGGTCTAATTCCACTTCCTCTCTCTCTCTCTCTCTCTCTCTCCCTCTTTCTCTAGTCTGCACCCCCTCTCTCTCTCTCTTTACCATCCCTCTGCCCCTTCCCCTACCTGTCTCTCATCTCCTATATTATCTTCTCTCACTTCTCCTTCTTTATCTTCTCTCTCTCCCCATCTTTTCCTTTTCTTCTCTCCCTAATTCCTCTGTTTCCTTTTTCTCTGTCAGATGTCTCTTTTTTTCTGTCTTTCTGTCAGATACTCCCCCATAGCCTATACTATTTCCTCATTCACACATTGCATATTAAAAAATGGCGAATAAAATACTCGTTTATTATCTAGATCACGATTATATTTGTTGATGTTATTTTTGTATTGTCATAATCATCATTTTCATTATATTCCACGGAATATTCCCCACGAAGTGATGTGTGTGCACTGTAATACAAGAAGTTCAATGTAAAGCGCGTAGAAAAGAAGTATTAAGCGCTATATACATGTACATGTAAATATTATACTTTTTATTATTATTATCATAATCATTCAATTATTATTATTAGTAGTAGTAGAAGTAGTAATAGTACAGTAGGAATAGTATTGTTGTTGTCCGGTTGTTGCTGTTATTAGTATTATAATTACTATTATTATTATTAGTAGTAGTAGTATTGTTATTATTATTATTATTATTATTATCAGGACCGTAGCCAGAGTTTGATGTTGGGGGGGGGGGGGGGGGGGCACATACATGTAATTGATCGACGTCCTGGGGATGGGTCTAAAAAGTTCAACCGATTTTGGAATTTTTTTATGGGCAAGGTGCCCCCCGTGCCCCCCCCCCCGTGGCTACGGGCCTGATTATTATTATTATTATCATCATAATCATCATTGTCTTATCGTCATCATCCTCCTTCTCAGTAGTCAACATCATCAATGTGATAACTAACTTCATATCATGTAAATTATCATCGATGTCATCATCATTATCATCACCATCTTCTTCTTCTTCTTCATCATCCTCGCTGTAATTCTTACTACAGTGTATCATCAATATTAATGTCTTTGTAGCTTCTAACCAAATACTCTCCATCTCTCTTTTCTTTGTCTACGCTGTCCCTTGCACAAAATAAAAAACGCCAGGTTTTATTTGTTTACTGAGTTACAATAAAAAAATTACCTTTTCTAGATTTTATTCCTGAATTCTGCTAAATTACAATGTTATATAGTAGCTGTACAGATCTACATGTTCCCTGTTTCACTTTCCCTTATTTGGTTTTGATAGTGTCCCCTCTGAATGCCACAAACAGATTTGTCAAACCATCATTTGTTTACAAATTTGGGACGTATATTGTTTCTATACAGAAAGTATAAAAAAAACACCCAGATATTCTGAAGGGAGCAACCATTGGACCGGTGCTTATATTTCCTAGCAAATATTCAAACTAAATTTTATTCAAGTAAATGCCATTAATGTTAATTTTAATGGCACTCCAGAACGTTTGACATACTTTCAATGTACATGTATGAACAGATACCGTAATTAAAGATACATTGTGCAAAAGAATATTATAATTTGAAATCCCTTATAAATAAGGGATTGCAAATTATGATACCAATGTGGAAAATGCGTTTTGTTATTCATTTTACGATTTCCCTTTGGTGATGTGATTCAGTATTCTGCGAAATTTATTACAATTGTGAATGCATTTTTGTTATTCAAAATTATTTCTATAAGCGTAATGGAGTAATTGCTTCAGTGTAAATCACAGTGCGAACACATTGCTTAAATCACATTTAGTATCAATAATGTAAAATCGCTGCGTTCACACTGACCTCACAGTGATCACATTTGGTTAGTGAACACGATGTGTGATAGAATAGCTATTTAATATGCTGCATTAGCTATTAATTTGTTTCATTCGTTTACATTAAACAATATTTATATATGAACAAAAATTAATAATTAAAAATTGTGGGTCCTCAATGTAAACCACTCCCAACACATACCTTTCTATTTAATTCAATGTATGCTACAGTTGACTTTGTTGATAATGTTGTACGTTTCAAAATATTTTATATATATATATATATATATATATATATAAGACAATTTGGATGCAATATGAATGATAGAATGTCATAAGGTTCTTAGTCTGCCTATAATCGGAGGAAAAAAATATTAAGAACAAAGAGAAAGGGTAGTTGGGTCTTGATTAATTTTTGGCTATGTCCTTAGTTCCAGTCGCCCTGCCGATTGACAGCGGTATCTCAACAGCTATCATGGGTACCGGTCAGCTTGGTCAGTGGTCAATGGACCCCTTTGTCCAGCTAGTAACAACATAATTGAGATCACCCTGATTTACATATGTGCTGGTCAAATTCATAGGTTCACTCTTTGGTGAGGACGATCGCATTTCGAAATCAATTTTTCATGCCTTTGTCCCAATCTACGCTGGTGAGAGAAAGAGAGCACACAAGGGGTCTCACTCGGGACTTGATTGATTGTGATGTTCTCTTTATGTCGATTTGTTCCTCTATGGATACCCCCCCCCCCCCCCACCCCTGTCCTCCCCGCTCTCTCTCTCCCTCTCTCTCTCCCTCTCTACCTTTCACTCTTCCTCATTCTGTCTCTCTCTCTCTCTCTGCGTGTTTGGTCCTCTTTGTGTTTCTATTATTTTTTTTTTACTCGATCTGTGTTCTCATACCTGCCTCCCCTTTCTCCTCATAACCATGCTGTAACTTAATGTCCTTACAATAATACATTACCATGATTAACAATAATTTTAATACATATCCATTTCTCCCCATTCATCTTATTACCCTTTTTTGTTCTCCCCTGTTCACTCTTGCAGAAGCAGATTCAGTCATCACTGTCGATGCCACTAATTTATGTTGGTACCAAGAGGGATCCCGTTGTTTTATAATAATTGTGATGTTATGTCATTAGCAAAAAAATCGCGACCATCAAGATGTAACCTTCCAGTCAGGCTTTCAATAGAAAATTGCGGAATATGCATTTTCGATATATTTTGTTTTCATTTGGCTATGTCAAAGTATGATTGTCATCATGGCCATGTGTGTGCATGGGAGAAACGTATTTGTATTCGGTGTTCCTTGTTGTCCTTTTAAAAGGCCTACACTCCATTTCTTGTTCTAAAATGATAATGTTCCTTATACAGTTCTCTTTTAAATTTCTCCCCCCCCCCTCACTCTCCATCTCGTCTCTTCTTTCCCCCTCACTCTGTCTCTTTCTCTCCATCTCTCATCTGCACGGACAATGCCCATCTATCGGGGAAGTGACCTGAACAGACCTTGGCCTCATGTGAACTATGCTGCTGTGCTGCGCGCCCACCAGCCCCCCCCCCCCCCCCCCCCCCCCCCCAATTCGCACCCTTTTCCTCTCTCTCTGGGGCTATTCGATATTAATGTAGCCGAGGGCCCATCATGAATATGATTTTGTCCGGTTGGTCAAGACAAAAGCCAGGACTGGACATGGCACGGCTTGACCCATGCTCGGTACGCATTCTTCGCAGATGGTCAGTTATGACAGCGGTCAAATTCACAATGTAATTTACTCACACTTATGGGATTTCGTGTATAGATTTGGTGTGCAAGACAGACACAGGGAGAGAGAGAGAGGAGAGAAACGGAGAGGGAGAGAGAGAGAGGGGGAGAGAGAGAGAGGGAGAGAGAGAGGGGGGAGAGAGAGAGGGGGGGGGAGAGAGAGAGAGAGAGAGAGGGAGTATGAAAGTCAGGAGAGAATGATACAGTAATTAAACTGTAGCTATTAAACATGAGAAAAGATAAAACAAAGAAAAGCAAACTGATGACCAGAAGGGGCTGAAAATAATGAAGAAAGGATGTACCTTTTCTTTATTTCTTCTTCTTTTATCTTTCACTCTTGATAATTTTAAAAGATTTTTAAACTTTATTTTACTCTACAATGATTGTAGAGGCCACCAAAGAAATGTAGAGTTTCGATCAATCTTGAATAATGAAGAGGACACTTTCTTGGAAGCGACGGAGAAAAGAGAGAAACAGAGAAATGATTTGGCAAAGAAAGAGAGAGAGAGAGAGAGAGAGAGAGAGATGGGGGGGGGGGGCGGTAGGAAAGGGTGAGGGGGGGGGGGTAGTTGGGAGGCCATAAAGGGTTCACGAATGTGGGCTGCGAATAATGCAACACACTGAGCGTAAAATTGCACGGTGTAGGCTATATCTAGACCTCGGTGCCTCATTTCAATTGAATCAACGAAGACTTCATTTTGAAAACAACCGAAAACGTGTTAAATACGCCTTCCAGTTCGACTATCGTTAAAAGGAACAATATAGTACACTAATTACGCATCATCGGCGAGGAAACATTGTAATGATGAAAGTAATTAGTTGAATTTCTTCGGTCATGAATTATTTTGAGGTCTGCGCACACAGACAAGCACTTTGACCTCGAACTCGTGTGGCCATTTCGGCCACGGTCACTCAACGGGGAAGAGAGAGAGAGAGAGAGAGCGTTGTGTGTACTCAGTCGCACGCACACACGTATATGAATGATCAATAACAATACTTCCGGGCAGTTTATTCATGTTCGCCGTGCGCAATTTCAAAATTATCGCCTCGCTGACCCAGCTAGGTGACCGCGAATCGGTTATAAATAAGAACATTCGTGCGAGAGGCGAATCAGACAATCTACCTCACACGCCGGGCAGAATAGCTCTTGACCCTGCGCTTGACCATTCACCAGCCAGCCGGGCGCTTGACCACTTGCTTTCAGTGGTCAGCTGCCCGGCTCGTCGGCTTGGTAGGAGTACGGTCGGAGAAGGGGTCACTGTATGCCCGGTGCTTGGACTTCTTCGTGGAAATGTTTTGTCTCGTGCAGATCCTCAGACGATTCCCATGCAGTCTTCCAAATCTGGATCTTCCAGAAGTGAACAATTTATTCTTGTTTTCTCGCCAAATAACATTAAAATTAATCTACCGCATCATATGACTTCGAACCGCAGACATCGCTTTGGTGTAAATATGACTTCTGTCCTTGGTGTTGTCCATGTTGTTCCTACCGAATACAGCTCTACCACGTAAAGGAGGATGACATCATTTTGGTCGCAACCGCATCCTTTGTGGACCTATGACACAATCATCGATGGTAAGTTCGTTCAACTTTCACCTTCCCTTGTGTGTTTTTGGAAATGCCTCAGTTATTTGACTTTATATCTGGTAAGAAGCATTTCTTATGGTGTTTCTGCATTTATTCTGCTTTTATGTATCATCACAATTAATGCTTCATCAACAAAATAATGGACATTATTTTATCGAGAGTTTATACCATAGAACTAAATGCCATGGTAACACCGCCGTAGCAAAAATTAACAGTTTGTTGTTGCTTGTGTGTTGGCGCTCGGTCAAAATATAACATTTACGTCTCTCTGGTATTAACCTTGCTAGAGTAAAATCATTGCTTGGAAAATGAAACCGAAAGTTCAAAATAATTACAGCAAGGTTATCGAACATGTCCAGGGCATGTAATGACATATTTCCCAGCTAATGTCATTATGATGCATACTTTCTAATTACTATTCCATTTCAGTTTAACAAAATTATGATAACCTCACGTTACAGTGGGAATATATCTTAGTGTTATACGCTATCTCACAAGGACATATGCGTGTAAGTTTTATGTAAACGAGATTATAAACAAAGAGAAACAACTTATAGCTCTTTTACCAAGGATATAATGTTTATCTACTCGTCTATAGCGTTCACAACATACGAGATATTACCATTAGCTCTCGAAAGGAAACTGAAATCAGATAGATAACCTTGCATGCCCTCATTTCTAATACCGCGCTTTTTACTGTTTTATTGGGCTCCCAGCCAGGGCGCCATTCGACCCGTACGTTCGTACGATTCTCCGGCCTGGATACGACCCTACACAAAAGGCGACAACATTGACAATGTCCTTTGAATATAAACAAATCCGTATACGCTCTTTGTATCACGCGAGGTTTGTAGTCTAAATCTTCTCGCAAGCGGCTTTCTGTTTATGTTTTGGGGGTTTCAGCTGTAAATTCTACGATCTCCAAACTTGATTCGAACTCCTTGTCGAGAGTGGTTGCTTTATGTTTCTGTTTTCGATGCCTTAGAAAAAGTGGGAGGGGCCAGAGGAGCACTTTGCCCGCCCTATGTTCGGTCGGTGCCCTCCCGCAATGCCCCGCGTGTACTTTGTGCTAGATCTGCACGGTTTCATTCCATCGCTGTTGCTCCGTGCGTGCACGCGAGAGCTGGGGACCGAGAGAGTCGCACACAGCAGCGAAACGTGTTTTTACCAGATTAGTTGGTGACTCGCTGTGGTCGGCTGGAGTTTGTGATTTCTGGGAAAAGCCCGTGCTCGTCTGAAGGTTGGAGGACTGAGAAACACATTGTGGTAGTGGAGGAAGAGAAGTTGAGTCAGACTCTGGACAGCTTTCGTGAAGGTGGGATATAACTTGAAATTGGTGTTAGAAATCATGACTACATTTTGTAGTAATGACTCTCTGAGTATCGTTTTGGCTAGGGTATGCCGAGAATATCATATTGCACTGATCATTTCTAGTCTCTGTCGGGCGATTAAATCGTTCAACATTTTATTCCGCCCATCTAACAATTTATATGCTTGTTTCTCTTGTTTTTTGGACAGACAGAAGCCGGCCTTCGCAGCTTGCCCTTCACTCCTCGAAGTTCAGGATCTCTCAATCAAAGTCAGCGGCTAGACACTTTTACTTCGAGCGACATCCTCAGTGAGAGGACGTTCTCCCTTGACCACCGGCTTAGCTTAGCAGTGTTCCCATCATCAACCTCATGAACACGAGAATTAACGTCCTGGTGAAATGATTGGTGAAGGGCGTGGAAGAGAAAGACGCTGACAAAGGGTTCTTTGTGTCAAAGGACGAGCAAAATGGTAAGTTCACTTTCATGTGTTGCAGTTAACTTTTCATTTTTATATGTTTCATTATTTTGATCATCGACCTATGTCTGGAAAGCAGAATAATGTGTGAACTGGTGATAGGACGGTATATATATTGTATATAAATCTCGAAAGGTGTATAATTATAATATTAAACTGGGGAGGAGAGGGGCAGTTCGGTTATAAAACTGTAGAAGTTCATACAGCTAGAATCGTGATGTGATTCCGTGTGATTGCATTGCATTGTGAGTATGATGTCTATATGCAATGTTGAACTTCGATTTTTAGAGAAACCCAGGGAGTTGGAATGGAAAAACGCTCATTTCGAAATTGTGTCGTGAGTATCGAAAGAAACGCGCTAAATCAGATTGCATTGTTATCATGCAACCCGCGTTATATTATGTTTCGGAATTATTATGGGGTATATGTGTAGTAGGCCTTGTAATGCGTCAAAATCGTTATATCTTTTGACAAGAGATAATGCCAGAAACGGTAAATAACGTAACCTTTGGTCCACGTAGACCTAGAATCGGAAAGCCCACATTCATTGCCTCGCTCAAGACTCGTGCGTCAAACCGTGTTTCTTGCCGGCCAATAATGCATTCAACAGACTCCATAAACTACAAGCCAGTATGGTAGTTGAACGGCTTTTGCACGCAAATTCCCCATGCCTAGCTGGATGAAATGAATACAAAATAGGACGGTTCAGACAGAGTTCATGGAGCCATTGGCAATGCAGCGCCAGCTAGATGGGGGTCACACAGTCACTCACTCTACCCCATAACTCAAGGGAAAGAATCACACTGGTGCAGCCCTTATTTATTTACCCCTTACCCGAACCCGCAGATAATATTCCAGGTTCGTCGTATACGTGTATACATGTATTTGCAAGCCATGAGGATGTTGTATATATACTTCGAGTCGCTCACAGCGCACTCGAAGTTTTTATTTCTGCAAATTTACGATATATTTCATTATTCATCGAATAAATACTACCGCGACTTTACATGGCGCTGTAACGAATTTTATATGTTCCAGCGACAGTAGCTTGGAAAATTTGCCTTCTTTTCAGCTCCTCTTCAGCAATGGACGAGGCCGCGCTGCTTTGTCTTTGTTTCCTCGGCGGGAGAGAATGACGTCACAAGTTCAAATACAGTTCATCTGTCTGACTAGTCATGAAGGTTTCGGAATAGTTTCTGTGCCGTCTGCGTGTGTATTTCAGTCTGCGTGAAGCTGGCCAAGTCATGTTCTCTAGCATGCAACATTTTGTATGTGGTGCAAGTCGAGACTTGTTTTGTTCGGCTGGCGCATATTTGAGGTTTTCTAGAAATCAAAAGCGGTTGCCTGACGAACCACAATGATCTAGAAACATGAAACATAATTTATCTTTGTTTGTAGGGCATAATATTACGTTTTCCTGATAGAGAATATCATATCTCTTTCTTTTGATCAGGAATCGATACCCTGTCTTGATCATGCCAGAATTATATGGGCCATTCTGTTTTATAAAATCACAACCTGTTTGTTTGCGACAGTCATATCACCTTTCTGCATTCCATCCATATCCATTTTGATTTAAATCTAATCAGCTGATTTGTTAAGCTAGGAGTATATAGGAATCGTTTGTCCTTCATTTTGGACAGAAGCCAGTGATGCAATTCCCATTAATCTGTATGAACACTACGCCTTCATCAACACAATGCCAAGGCCATATTTACATCCATTTCCCTGTATTTCTGTAAACAGCTTTAGGAGATAGATGGAAAGGATGGTCATGTATATTTAGAAGTATGTCACAATTTTATAAGGTCACCACTCACGGCTAGCTGTACTGAGCTGGTCGAATGCGACCCGTCCGAGTTCGCAATTTATCTTCATTAAGTGTAATGATTGACAGTGCAGATGCAGTTACGATGCCATAGCAACTGTCTCTAATATTCCCCCAGCTTTTCACTAGTCTTTTGAGTGAATGCATATATCTCGTTTTTATTTTGACGGGAATATTAAAGTCCGGATTAAAAATGGGCGTGTTTTGGCAGTTGATTGGCCAATACGGTGCAACTGCTATATTATGTCTAACGTTGACCCCTGTCCAGTGACCTGCATTTGAGACTCCACCTCCTCTCCCCGTGACCCTCCATCAACTGACCCACTTCTGCCATGTCAAAGAACCCGAATGAAATCCGCCAGTTATTGGTCAACATGCGTGTTGCATATTCATGACGTTCAACTGGGTAAACTGACCTATATCCTCGTCTCTTATGTCCATCCTTCTTTGGCCATGCACTTTAGCTCAGGGCAAGCTCGTTGAATATTCATGACTATGAACTGACCGATATTGTTCGCCCATCTCCATCTCGGTCTGTAAATCCATTCTTGACCATTCACTAATCATAGAAGCGCTCCCGCTCGATTAAGAAGCGATCTCCTTGATGCGTTTTCCACCAATGATAACAGATACATCGAAGTAATTATTCCTGGAAGGATTTGGATGGCGGTTACAGAATTTGCCAGTTGCCTCCGCATTATCATGCCATAAATTGATGATTTACATGAAATAGCTAGATATAAAAGGCAATTCGAACGTCTTGCCAGATCTCGAAGAAGTCCGAAACTCCAGGTTTCTTCGGGGTTAGTTCTCAGAATGGTTTAATGCAAACCGATGAAGGGAAGTAAGCAACCAGTATCCTCATAATTACGAGGTAAACCTGATTTAATTGACTTCAGGTTTTACATATTTAGTAATACTAAACTGGATGCAAATTGTTGATCATATCCAGGACTGCAAGACGGAAGAAGTGAACCAGAGAAAAACTGACCTGCTTCTGGCCTGGGCTTGTAGCTGACATCGTCCAAACGCCCTACTTTCTAGGGGAATGAACCTCGAGCTCTGTTCTAAAATTTCGGCGTACGATTTATGCTGATGATAGCTCCATGAACTGCTTATTCATGCGAACGTGTCAGCGTTATTTATGCTAACGTGTCAGTGTATTTATCCATCTCACTGTTGTTCACATTTTTTTTGACATGGAAGTTGTTATCACGAACCACAACATTTAAACCAGAACCTTGCTTTCTAATTTTGTTTGGGTTTAGAAATAGACCGATTTTAAAATGTATGAAGCTCTTTAGATTTTTAATCTGAAAGATCTTGCATTAATGCAACTGTGTGTCAAAACTGCCACAATTGGCCTACCAAGAAGCATAGACATCGGCTCTTCATTTTACAGCTTTTCATTTTCATGCAACTGTTAATACGTTGACAAAGGATTATTGGAGAATGTGCTTTTCATCAATGGCAGTTCATTGCAATGTCACCAACTCCACATGAACTTGGAAATCGATTTCTATCGCTGCTAGGTATAATGACATGAGAGTGATGAATCACCGCTTAGTCATAGTCCAGACAAAAAGCAGAATCTATTCTCAGTACTTTCTAAATGGAAAAAATAAGTTCGTGCTCGACAAAAAGAAATGGTTAATCAAATATAGAAACCACACAGTAAACAGGGCCGGTAAACCCAAACAACATTTGGCTTTGCGCCCAATCGCTCACTTGCATATTTCAGTCGATAACCTGCCGATTGAAGCACGATAGTTACTCGAATGTTGCCATGTCGTCTGTTAGCTGCATGATTTGGCGGGAATGCCAGGTTCAACTGAAGTTCATTATTCCTCGCTGCCCCTGTTTGTAATGCGTCATTTCTCCACTGTCCGTGATAGTTATACATGAACACTGTTCTAGCATTAGAGTATTTCGGTAGGCAAAGACCTGTAATCTATGATTGTACGAATACGGTTGCGTTGATATCACAGGCATGACTTCCAAATTAACATTTTTTAATAACTTTGCGGACAAGTATGCATGAGACGAAAATCTGTGTCTGTAAACTAGTGATTATACATCAGACACATTTCTCGTCATTTTATTATTATTTTGTTTATTCACTACGTCATGATAATGCTCTTTGATCACAAAGCATTTATGTAATCAGACTTATTTGTATTCATTTCTTTGCATTTTTCTCGCTCTTTTTCGTGTGGGATGACTTTTTTGTGTGAGTTGTTAAATTTCGGTTCGTAAACTGGTTATTCGACAATTCGACAATTAACTTACACATACAAAACAATCATACTTCTCCGTAATGTTTTGTTTGTGTGTGAGATGTAAATGTTAGCATGTAAACTAGTAATTCAACATCTTACACATACAATTTGCATACAGTTTTGGTATTCGTTACGGCATGGGCTGTTTAATTACCAGCGTGAATATATAAGGTAATCGGGGAGGTAATGCAGGTATTTCGTGTTAAATTATCGGATTAATCCACTCACCGTATCGATAGGCCGTTCTTTGAAATCCCTTGCTTTCATTCTTGTTACGTCACACTCATGCTCTTATTGATTACGTCTTAACCTAGAAGCTGCAATACATCGAAGGTTGTATAGCATTTGTTGTGGTCATGGACCGGTTCGTTGGTCAATTCAATGCTCTTCGGATTTGGACGGCCCACTCAATTGTCTGGCGAACAATTGGCAATGGCCATTGATTCTGTGGATTAATGGGCGTAGGCGTAAAAAGATACTTTACGCTTAGCATTTCGGTTTTAAACGGGAAGGGGCGTGGTTATGATAAAAGGAGGATGGGGTCTATGATTCAGTTACTGGTATTGTGCCGCGCTCGGGTGCATTGGCCGAGTATAATAGATTACCACAAGACTGTTTTATTGCTAAAACTAAAACTAACGGTCTGCTCTGAAGCACGGATCATTCGCCGAATATTATAGAAGTAGAGAGAGCATACAAGTGAGCCATCGGTCTCAATCTCTGGAAGTAATAATGTAAATCATTGGCAAAAGGGCAAGTAAGTAAGCCTTCCCCCAAAATGAAATCATTCGTATCAACAAAATAAAAATGTTATTGCTTTCTGCAGTTACCCTTAACACCACCTCCACACACACACACACACACACACATACTCGATTTGTCTTTCACCCTGTTTCTACAATAATTATACTAGGGAGTTGGAATTCCTGATTATACTGCTATAAGATGACGAAACCATCTTGCTAGACATCAAATTAAATCAGGATTTCATTCATTCATTCATTTTGGGGTTGACACGCCACCTCAAGCATTCCTAAAGCCATACGAACGCCACAAATCGGTGTCGTGCATGTGAGGCACATTGTCCGCATCCATTTACCCCAATTACTATCCATGGGTGGCGATGAGTCATGAATGAGTCGATCGGAAGATCTCCTCCTTCTCCTCAGAGTCATACCTACACCCAAGTACAAGTGAAGTTCATGAATGAAGTCATCATGTGAACTATGGATTTTGCAGGCACAAACCGGTATCAGTCGTACCAGTGTTTGTACTTTGAGACTATAACAGACGACATGCTAGGCTCTGTACTGTATATTTCTAAGCTGATCGTAATCGACAGAGCTAGGTTATGTCCAAGGCTTTCGGAATTATGATAAAGAGTGTCTAATCAGAGTCTTTGTCAGCAGACTATGAACTGTTCATCAACCAAACCGAAAGTGTGGCAGAGCGAGAGAAATAGAAGAAGGGATGGATGCATCAAGAATACTGTGTCTCTAGATGCATCACCATTGTGCATTTTGAATTTTTCTGTTGCTTCCTTGCCATCTACGAGCCGGTCAATCTGTTAATATCATTTTCCAGTGAGCTTAGTCACATCGGGGACTATGGTTACGTCATACTATTCACAGTATCGACGACATTTATCATCATGGTAACATAGTACTTGTATGTGGATGTATAATGCTCGTGCACGCATTTTGATATCGGAAGGTTTTGTATTTGGGTACAAGTTAAAACGTTTATTGGTTTTGGAAGCAGAAAAACTCGCATTTTCATGGTCTGTTCCCAGAAACACACCTGAGCGGCGTGTAATTCATGGTCCCTGCTGTTTGTCGAGGATCACTAGGTATCTTCACAAAGCCGTTTGTTCTTTTTTGTTATGGATTTGTTTAGTTCAAAGTTTGTTGTCATCCTTGTTCATTCGATCTCCCAACAATGCATTTTCCAGGGAGATTCGGTGTGAGATTAGATTGATTTCTTTTGGAGGAAGACCCCATCGCTCTGCAAAAAAGCGTTGATCGGCGTTCCGAGAAATTACTTCTCGATTTTAGGATTACCGCCTTCAACTGTTTCTTTCATAGTTGAAACACATTGTGTGTTGACAACTTACTTACTGGAATTGTTTACTTCGGTTTCTAGAATACCTGGTAATGTTCGCTTTGTTAATTCCAGGGACGTTGAGCCTTATCAGAACAAAATTGAAGGCAAACCTAGATGTAAGGAGCGTCTACCCCATGCCCACTGTCCCCTCCTCATACTTTGATCGACTCCTTGATTTGTTTATATTGTCGTGCATCGTCTGAAGCATTTGAAATGTTACTGCAAGTAGATGAACGAACATACACTTTAACATTTCCTATTCTTTCTTTTTGTTCCGTGCATTAGGTGTACATTCACGTTAATGTGATGACCAACCAACATCGACAGAAGGTGGGACAACAAATTTGTCAATCGTCGTCGCGTCGGTCATCGCCTCACCACCAAGATGTAGTCATGCCCCGATGTCATCCTCCGTAGCGTCGTCGCAATGATCAGGAACATCGCATCGTGCGTTGCGATGTTCGCCGTCGTGAATTCTACGTCAGCTGTGTATGCGCTCTGCCAAAGATGCTCGTCAACAGGGTGTGGCTATTACGACGCGACAACCCTGGGACGCTACAAGCATCCAGAAACCTCAGTCAGCTTATACACCATCCCCAAGTCCTATCTCGAGGAGCTCACAACCCGCTTCGGGAAAAGGCTGCTGCGTTGTGCGATTTTATTTTGGTAAGGTCCAGTCAAGCGGTTTTTTAGGCGTCAGGAAGAACAGATGTCTTTTTCTACTTTTGCGGTTCAACTATTTGGCGGGAAAGGATACGGAGATGACACACTTCGGAGATCAGCTGCGGGAACGACGTGAGGTCTACAGCGCTCTCCTTTTAGACTGGTTTACGGACGACCCCTTCGCTAGTGGATTGGATCACCATCGCAAGTTTTCTCTACCTGTAAAACTCCAGACGATGTCGGATCAGATTCCGCTGGGAGAAGGAGGTCGTCAGGGGCCGTCGAAAGGAAGCCTGTTGTCCACGTTGGAGTCCACTTTTGTAGTTTAGTTGTGTTCTCTCTTTCTTTCTTTATTATTCTATTTCTGCTCTCTCTCTCTCTCTCTCTCTCTTTCTGTCCATAGTTATTAGAATCTTTCTTTCGATCAAACTTTATAACCAATTAACAGCAGCTTTGTAATTGATGGTTAAACTTTAAGTTATAAAATCCTTAGAGTAAATTTTATTGTGCACGATAATTATGTCTCCTCTCAAAGAGGTTTGTACTCGCCAGTGTACGTTTAAATTTAATGAGTATTTGTCTTTCGTTACTTTTGTGTCTTTTCTATTTACTATCTCTAAAACCTGCATGGATTTCATGCTTCCCCAGCTATGGTCACAATTACGTGAACAAATATTGCCAAAATTATTTAGCCAAAATTATTATGTATCGTTCACTCTGTAAGTACACTAGAATTCATTGTAGGACGTCGTATCGGACATGAAATTAGTTTGGTGGTTGCAATGTGCTTGTAATGCAGGTAGTGCCGAATCCCTTAACTCAAATGATTTTGTAGTTCACCAGTCAGGATTATATTCGTGTAAATGCAAACATAGTTCTTTAAGACCCAAAGGAAATTCTTTGGTTAATGCTGACCCCAAAACTATTGTGCAATAACGTTTAGGGGATGCATACCTATTTATTAAAACAATACCCAGCTTTGACATGTAGATGTCTTATTCTAACTTTCCAATCTAGGGGTTCTGAAGTGCTCGCTTTCTTTTCCTTTCTTTCTTTTTTCCCTTTTTCCCAAGGGTTTTCATAGATGATTTATCTATTGATAACTCGCTGCCATTTGAAATGCAAAAGGACTTCTCAGGTGTACCTTCTTGATGTAGGAAAAGGCTCTGACAAGCCAGATAGCGCGACAGCACTGCTCGTTGTTGTCGCGTGTTTATGGCAAGAATCTCCTTGTGCGCAATGTATCCAAGTGCTTATTTCTTTTGTATCATGTACAAACTCGCTTAACCGCTTTAAACATCTGTATTGGCTATGCATTTATGTATTGGAATGCAACTGTATACTCAAACTCCATTCACTATGTTCACTTTTGTCCGAAAACAGTAACGGTCGTATAAGGACTTCTATTTTGTGGAAGTAATAACACACCTAGCATTTTGGTATAGCGCATGCGCAAGCTGACGTCAGTAGCTGATTAGTAGTAGGATATAGAAGTAGAATGGGCCTACAAGTTTTGTTTTCATTCAGTGCCGTGTTTGTATACATAATACAGCTTACATATTGGCTGAAATCAAAACTTCTAAAGACCTAGTATTTTTGCATTTTTTGCGAACAATACATGAGAGTAGAGTTAGATCGTAGAGTAGCACCGAAATACTGCATCTGAAATATGACTGTAAAGTTACGTAATAGTTTAAGTTTATGATGTATCGTAAACTTGCACTGAATCATGTATCTTTTTTATAAACTTGTATTGAATGTTATTAGGAGGAGTTAGGAAGGGAGTTGTTTACGCCTTATGACGGTTAGAAGAAGCCGGAATGTAAAAGCCACACGAAATTGCTGCAAAAAATGTCGTAGATTTAGAATTGAAATGGGTATGTTTGTGTGTATGTGTTGGGGTGAAAAAGCGCGTCATTACATACGCGTTAATGAGTGAATGAGTGTGCGTGAGGTGGTGTGTGTGTGTGTGTGTTAATTGTGTGCGTGATGTTTCCGTTAGAAATAGCGTGTTCAGAAAACGGAGGACGAATTCAGATTTGATGGCCCGTATTGTACAGAAATATAGGATAAAACAGTCTTTTTGTCACATAATTTTGTCCTGTATTATATACTAGTATCGATGCTGAAATAGTCGTTGTTTATTTGGATATGTTACGCAAACTGAAATGTTTCTTATAGGTAAACAGAGGATTTGCTTCTTTAAAGAAGCGTTAGTATTAATCTAAAACTCGTTTTTATTTTCCCTAGAAGCGGGTTTTATTTTGCAAAACTGTTGACAATGGTGCTGATTTTTGATATTTTGGAGTAGATTTTCATCATTTTTTCGTTTCTATATCTGCTATTTGTGTGCGTATCAGGCTGGAGTTGAAACAACTTCATACGCCGCATCACCGATCACGTCATCATTTCCATGGCGACACTATCAAACTTGTGACCAATCACGTTGGCCGATCGCTGTTGTTGTAGAAACCTGTTTATCTTTCCAGCACGTGTAGCTGTCTTTGTGTCTTTAACCATTTTAGAAACATTTAGTTTTCAACTTGTAAGATATTCATTAGATTTATGTTCCACTTTTTCAACTGAAATATTATTTACTTAACAATTGTTTTTTCTTCTGAAAGGAACTTTAGGTTTCGATCTTTCCTTTTTTCTTTTGTGATGTACCATGATTGTCACCATATTTCTCGGGGAGGGACAATAATCACAACAACATTTAAGTTAACTAATTTAAACGTCCTCAGCAAGGAAAAAAAATGGGTTATGCTAATTGAAGCTGCTCCAATACATAAATGCTGTTGTATGTCTAACACTGTTTTTGCTGCATAGTATAGTGTAGATATTGAAAACAAATGCTGTAACTTTAGGCGTTCATTGAGCTAACATTTAATTATTTTAGATGTCGCAAAATATGCTGCATTATTTCCGAGGATGACTCGTTAGTCAACCGTTTTTGCCGCCAGAAAAATAATTTTGGTGGCTATAAGAGATACCACTGATATTTGCTGCTTTGGCCATCAGTTATAGCCAAATTAAATGATAATCGAGACATTCAATGTTTGTTTGATTTTTGCCACTGATTTTTCGGTGAGTAGCGAAATTGCTATGAAATATTGATTTTCGCTAAACAGAGTATCAAACTTACGGTGATGTCTCAATTATTAACAAGGTGGTAAGGAAGAGAAGAAAAAAAAAAGCATTTGAAAGGCTCGTTTACACTAAGGTCCAAAGTCCAAACATTGTGGAGTTCATCAGCAACGTACATCGTGACGTCATGAGGTACGTTTCTAAAATCACGTTGTTTTTTACCGTAGTGTGAACGGGGCCTGTTGTGAAAGGTTTAAAGAACGGAGAGTCATTTGATATCAAAGGAGAGTTCATACTACAAAGATGCTGCTAGATTACATCTCTGATCCAACTTTGGATGGAGACGGTCTCCTTAACAAATTTACACCACATCGTTGCTGCATTGATCCGTAGAAATATGCTGTCGCTTCGTTCATAGAGAGCTGAAGAATAAGGCTTTTAAGATTTAGTTTTTAATGATTGCCTTGTTAAAGATCCAAAGCTTACAAACGCTCATAGCTTAATGCAAGCCTTAGGAAGAGGCATGTAACATACTGCATGGAATATAAATATCACAGAAGAGATATTTAGAAATGAAATTAGTGCATATACTGTCATCATTGCAAATAGATATGGCAGGCTAATAATCTACTAATCTCCGTTTAGTACACGCATAATATGCTGATAAAATTATTGCTACTTAATGCTGCAATAATGCGCATGCTCTTTATTTTAGAGTCAATATTATTATTACATACGTGCTGCACTAATAATAATAGTAGGCCTAACTGTTATTTTATATGCTGCTTTCTTTGACGTAAGCTTGCATTAATTTAATATAATTCAAAGCTATTATAGTTGATAAGGTTAATATAAAAGTGAAGAGATTTAAGATGTACAAATTGCTGCAAACTGTGTCAATGCGCTATACACGCAAAAAAGACCGGTTGTACACCACAAAGTTGCTGCAATGTAACTCAAAGTAGTCGGAGTTGAAGCCGTTGTCATTCATCGACTTTGAGTAACTAGTTTGGTGAAACAATTATTATTATTATTATTATTATTATTATTATTATTATTATGTGTATGGTAGCTTTAAACCTACTAATTGCTGCAAAAATGTCTATACCGTGCTTGACACACGCTAGACAAAACTACACCACATCATGGCTGCATACGATAGTAGAAATAGATTCATTACGAAAAAATGGTGTTGGCGGATTACCATAGCGTTTATAAAAAATGTGTAGATATTCGTTTAGTTCCTGACTGTTAACAGTTTCCATAGACAGATTTGACCCGGGTTAAAGTGTTAAACATGCGGACAACATGAAAGGCGTATACAACTTATTTTCTTTTGTATTGATTGTTTAGTAAAAATCATACGCTCTCTGTATCTTGAACACTTTCCATCATATTGTATTGCACGCATATTTCGCAAATTACTATATTTTAGATCATTATATATGTCTTGTTGTCCCATTTATTGTATATATATAGTTTGCATATCTGTACACACAATAGTATGTTTTGTGTATTTGGTGGACAGATTGTAAATGTTAAACTGGTAGAACACTTCATATAATAACGATCGAACTGTACAATATGTATACACCTTAATCTTCTTTTGCTCTTTTGATAACATTTTATTCATGTTACGAATATGAAATACTACCTTAATGGAGTTATTAACAACGATTTGATGATGCATACGAATGAAAGTTTACACGGATCTAATTTCGATACCTCATTGATAGATTTCCTTCCAGAAATATTATTGTGTAGTAAATTAATTTCTCAATTGAATTAGAAAGGAGGGAGGATGTATTTTAAAATGCAAGTCGTGTGTGTGGGTGTCCTTCGTTGTATTTCTTTCATTTGTATTTGTTCGATCGAATTCAGGGTACTTTTGTATAGCCCCCCTCAACAGAAAAATCCGTCTACACATTCATCATCCACAAATGTTTCTCAGATAAAATTACCTGGGCACTTGTGATGATCAAGGGTGTGTGAGTATTGATATAATGTATAGGTGTACATTGTCTGTATTATGCAAACTTTATTTTAGTCAGGGTAATTTTTTTAATCCCAAACGAGCACAGTTGAGATCATTTGGTGTGAACAACTCCTGTATGCGTCGTTAGAGAAACGTCAAGTTCCCTCGTCATGTTCAGACAAATACATGTACTGTTATATTGTCAATCGAAAAATGTGAAATGTGCCATTAAATAAAAATGTGAACGTAGAGTAAGTATTTCATTGGACTATTATCATTTTAATTTGAACGGATATTGGATTGTGTAGTACTGATGTTATTAGACAAAAAGAAAATAATAATTTCAATTGTTGATGATGTCAATCTTGTAATATTTCCGTATATGTTGTAGTTCTTGCGTCCATGAATATTTGGTATCTCAGGATATTTGGATAATAACTTTTCGTCGCTTTCCTTTCTTGTTTTTAGATTGTAGAATTGTTATTAAGCTTGTAGATAGGATAGGATAGGATAAATTCGTAGTAGAATATTGGTAGTGTATTAGTAGCATGTAGGTAGTAGTACATCTATATTATTCTATCCTCACTTTGTTTTCCCAGCATTTATCGAAAGAAAAAGAACCAGTATGGAACGTTATACTTTGTCGATATTTTTTTTCTTTCAGAAATGTTGTACTTCATTTTGTAATCAGGTGATGCATGTTGGGAACGTCGGGCATTATTTACAATGTTGTTTTATTTGTTTATTTTTTCATATATTATCGTCGCGGGTTGTTTTGGTATGTATTGGTATACTTGATTAATGGGTGCTCTGCAGGAATTATATTTTGATCGTCTTACATCAAATTATTTCAAAATTGCTTGTATAATCTTTGATATTTTTTAAAGAAAATCTGTAAAAACATTATCATTAGTCTTAAAGTCGTCTTGCTGACATAATAATTGTTCTCATTGCTCTAAAAAAATCGTAAACGAGTATAACTTTGACGAATGATGATCATTCATTCTTAATTTTCCCAAACAAGTTCTTTTGAAATTGAAGAGCATTAATTTTTTATTTGATCTCGACTTTTAAGTGTGAAATGCCAAACAGAGAAAAAAATGTCAATGCACTGTAATTAGCATGTAAATTAACTGTAAATTCTTTATTTTGATGTAAATAAATGATTTAAAAGCTGAATCGTATATTCAAATGTCGTATTTACTGTTTACTAGTCCTGAGAGAGAGAGAGAGAGAGAGAGATGGGAAGGGGGTAGGTAAGGAAAGAGAGGGAAGGCGGTGTTAGAGGAAACAGTTGAGAGATAGAGAAAGAGGGGGGGGAGAAGAAAAAGACAGAAGAGAGAGAGAGAGAGAGAGAGAGAGAGAGAGGGGGGGGGGGGTAAAAGTAGAAAGCAGGAAGGGAGAAGGAGAGTGGGTCCGTTTGCTATTCATTAGGACCGCTATTGTATATGTGTGTAATTGGGGATTTACAGACGTGTATCAATCAGATACGATTATTTACGTCTGAAAGGCGTGAGGGCTGCTATTCATAAGAACCGCTATTAATAACTCGTAAGGACCGCTATTCATAATCGAAGAAGAGAGTCGCTATTCATTATAAATAATCATAACAAGAAGATTGAAGATAAATAGCGACCCCGATCTCGTATTAGGAATAGCGGCCCTTATGAGTAAAAGCCCTCAATGTGAATTATGTATAGCGACCCTCATATCAGATTGGGACACGTTCCCCAGCTCAATTTTTTAGGGGGGGGGGGGGGGGGGTCGCCCCCTCCCCGAAAAATTTGAAAAAGTGCAACAAACAAAATGTATTGCAAATACTGACTAAAGACTTCAACACAGTCTTGTTAGGCTCTGGAGGGCTCAAGAGTGCAGCGTTTAGACTAATACAAATGCAAAAGTCTCAAATAATGCTCCCTCGTCCCTCGCATTTCGCCCCCCCCCCCTCGATCATGAAAAATCGCCGCCCCTGACTGTTCTATTTGTAACCGAATTACTTAGATGATATAACACTCCAACATCTAAGTAATTCTGTTGCGAATAGTCATTATTGCCTTCATCAATAATCTTCGACTGACCCAGATTCCATTACGTCACGCCACCATAAGCAACACAATGCAATATTTTCAGACGACCCCGTTTTTACTCTTTTTCACCCTTTCCCGTGCGCGCCGATGTTGCACGGGAAAGCGCGATGACCGTGACCTAGAAAACCGTCATTTTAATAGCCTCGGATGCGATGTTCCCGTTGTGCCACAGTCTGTCTGGTAGTCCTATTGCTTGATCTAGATCCTCCCTGACCCAGTTATCTTGGACGAAACCAGGTGAGCTGTATACTGATCGAACTCAAGGGATGATTTCCGCGTCAAAACACGGTTATGATGCAAGCGTGAACTGCATCGCGGTGTTAAAGGGAAAGTCCACCCCCAAAATAAGTTTGTTTCGATAGAGGCAGAATAATAAGAAAATCAGGTGAGTGAAAGTTTGAGCAAATTCTGAATGAAAATAAGAAAGTTATGAATTATTGAAGTTGTGATCAATCAAATACAAATTGGCAACTCTGTGACTTATTATACGAGCTCTCCTTCATTTGCTTTGTGCATAATATTCCATAAAATCATGTTTTCTTCGTTATTGATGACGGAATATATATTTTTTCCTTGCAGGGGGAGTATAGAAACATATTTGCAATTATTATATTTAGGGTGCATGTATGGTTGAAATTTTTCTTGAGGGAAAATGAAAATTTTAGATTTTTTTAGTACTGAGCCAATGGAAGTTGAGCTCGCATGATACGTCATAGAGTTGCCAATTTGTGTTTGATTGATCACAACTTCAAAAATCCTAACTTCCTTATTTTTAATCGGAATTTGCTCAAACTTTCACTGACTTGTTTCTCTCATTTTTCTACTCCTATTAAAACTAACTTAATTTCAGGGTGGACTTCCCCTTTAAGTGGCCAAGCTAAAGAGGGCAAGGGGCAGCACACCCCTCTATTCGAATATTGAAAAAGAGAAGACAAAAAAAGGAAGAAAGAAAGCGAGATGAAGAAAGGATAATTGATGAGGAGACGATAAGGCCCACTTCCACACCTACCCCTGACGGGTGGCCTTGTTAATTCGCATTTCATCAATCATATTACATAGGCGCTCCTCCCCCATTTTGACGGTGCCCCCTACCCATTAAACCCATACATACCCCCCCCCTTCCCCTCCTCAAGCTATCAATCAAAAATGTTTTGTTAGAGTTTATGGTTAACAATATTTCTTTGATGTCATCAGAGCTGAAAAATTAGGTAAACAAATATATAAATATTTTTAAAAAAATCGGAATAATAAAAAACTAGAGACTGTATTGATTTCCAGATGATTCATGCGTTTTATCATGTTCAATTCAACTTCGTAATGGTTAAAATAGTAATTTTATTTCAGCATTTCAATTGTTTCTCTCCCATAAAATATAACATAGAATAAACAAAGTAATTAGGGAGAAGAGGGCGTGGCGGGTCCAATTTCTCCTGTATTAATTTGACTGATAATGTTATCATATATGAAGGGAAGTTTCATTGTTTTGCTATGTTTGATTCCTATGCCCAATATTTTGCTGAAATTAAAGATCAACTGAAGAATAATATTAATTTCTCGACGAACACGATCAATGAACATGAAAGGTACGGGAAACAATCTTATAGCAATATGGACTTTTAGATTTGCTCGACGACAAAGTGGACTGCTACTGTGACGTCCTGATAAGGCACTGTGATGTCCTTTTAAGGCACTGTCAATACCTTATAAAGACGCCACGCGTAGCAGTCAACTATGTCGTCGTGTAAAAGTCCCTAATGTTCAAGCTGGTTGAGATTGCTTGCATGAGTGCACCTCCTTTGTTTGGTGCACGTTAGAGCATTGGTGAATGCTATACCAGGCAAGGCATTCTAAGCTGTAGCGATCGAAAGTGCAGGTTATACATACACTGTACATTGTGTGATGCAGGAGCCTGGAGGAAACATGATCAAATTTCGTTTGAAGCAATGGTACATATCTGAAGTAAGTTGATTTCTTAACTAATCTTTTACTTTATCAAACGCCAACGGACAATCACATTATTACTGTGTCTGTACATTATTATCTGTGACTCAGTTATGAATTGCTACCGTATAAGATTTAATAGTGAAAGTTGACGATTATTGAACCATGTGGGACCAAACAGAAAATTCAATAACATGTTATCAAGGATGTTGCACTCGTGAAAAAAAAGGCGTAAACAATACAAACCGGAATACTAACATATTCAAGTTGTATGCATACTTTATAACCAAATTTTTGTGCAACAACCGGAAAGCTTGTCTGAGGATTGCCCGACATAGCAACGAGTAATGCATGCAGACTGGACTCCAAGTATTGTAGTTTATTTATTAATAACAGGTAAATGGAATAATTTGTCACTAGGTCCCTTTGGAAAGAAACACCTATAAATTTGAATATCTTTGTAAACCGGTCTATTGTAGAAATCAATCAAGTAAAGCTGAAAAGTGAGCACTATTTTTTGTTTGCCTCCTAAAATTTTAAAATCGCACCCCCCCCCCCCCTCCCGTTGAGTACCAGGGTAGGAGGCCCGTCTTTTTTTTTTTTAACAGATGAGGTTGAATTAACGTGTTTTTACCTTTTTGGGGTGTTTTTCCCCAGGAGAGGGCCCCTGGCTCTACCTTTGAGGCGAGCTGTATAAATGCTTAATGAACATTACTCGAATGGCAAAAAAGGGAAACCCCCTCCTAACAATTTCGTATTGTGGTCTTCGCGCGTACTTATTGGCGATAATGGCATGAATGAAATAATTGGACGGGTCAATGTCAAAGACCCAAATAGGTGTCAGAAGCCTAATGAGAAGGGGATTGATTTAATTAGATAATTGCGTGAAATGAGGTAACCGTCTGGTGTAAATGGAGTACATGACGGCGTAAAAGTGATTAGTTTTCTAGCTTGATGACTGACTTATCGCCGGGGAGGGGGGGGGGGGGGCGGGGGGGGGGGGGGAATAGTTTTGATGAGACCTGTGTAAGCTATCATGGACCATAATGGACACTGTACTTGTATTTCCGAAAGTTCATATTTCCGAAGGTTCGTATTTCCGAAAGTTCATATTTCCGAAGGTTCGTATTTCCGAAGGTTCGTAATTCCAAAGGCTCGTTACTCCGAAGGTCCGTTCATAATGGTTCATAATTCCGAAAATGAAAAAGGGATCATAACATTTGCTTCGATACAGCACTACACGATCCTCCTGCGATCTGATTTTCGTAGGAAGGGCATTTGTATTACATAATGGAAATCTAAAAAACCACTATCCCCTGATTTAGGTTAGGGTCTGAGAAGTTAAACAAATATTAACAAGCGGAATTATAGTGCATTTAACTCTTCCGGTCAGAATAAAAGCCAAATCCTGAGCCGATTTAGTCTTATCCTTTCAAAGGAAGCATGACATCCCCTGATATTCGAACTTTATTGATCACATGACATTTCAGATCCTCGGTTATTGAAATGTTACATGTTTGAATGTTCATAATGGAAATGCTATCACAAATTCTTCCAAAATCGGATTCTAGTCAGATCGTGTAGTGCCCAGTGCTAGACGATTGGGGGAGAAGGGGGGGGGGGGGTGTTAACGAAGTGCCTAACCGTGCGATGTTCATTAATGGGCCTCAATACGTCTGACCTTGCTTTGCAGGCTTTATTGTCATTATTGTATTCCACATCGAGTACACTTGATGTATCATAATTATAAGACCCACTATGCTACAATATTGACTTATTGTTGCCTGTAACGTTCTAAAGACCTCGTAATCGGAGTCAAATGAATTAATGATAATATTTGTCAGCCTTGTAATCTGAGAATATTGGATCACTGCCAATATTACGCTGGCAATATTATGTAAACATGAGATCATAGCTACGTGAGAAAAGTTGATAATAAGTGAACAATAATTAGTAGGCTGAAACCTAATCCTGGGAACGAATAACAAAATAAGCACATATAGGCCTCGAGAAATGACGATTATTTTTCGAAGAAGAAGGCGAAAATTAATAAAAGATGAAGATAAAGAAAATGAAGAAGGAGAAATTTAAGGAGGAGGAGAAGAGAATTTAAGGAGGAGGAGAAGAATGAGAATGAGGAGGAGAATGTGAAGGAGAAGCAGAAAAGAAGAAGAAGAAGAAGAAGAAGAAGAAGAAGAAGAAAGATAAAAAGACAAAACTTTATGACATTTATATAGGTCTGAGCTGAAAATCAAGAAAACGAGGAGGAAAAGAAAATAATTGAGAAAAATGAGAAGGCTTGAAAAGAGAAAAAAGAAGGCGTGACAGAAGAAGGCGTGAACGAAGAAAAAGGAGTACTAAGAGTTAGAATGGAAGAAGATAGGAAAGGGGGGGGGAGGGGGGGGGGGGGGGGGGGGGGGGAATCGAGAAGATGTAAAACGAAGCGCAATCCAGATTTATTGAATCTATCTCTAATAATAATAGAGTACAAAACGACCACCCCTCCCTAAAGGAGGAAACGGTGTCCAATGTATTCCCAAGCTTAGTTCAATTTTGAAATCTCCATGATTATTTTATTCTTTAACTTTTTGACAGGCATAACGAGATTCTGGATATGAAGCCAAGCAATGATATTCATCCTCAGGTTTTATTAGTCAAATCAACATCTTGAGACAGACAATGACAGAGGACTGATGATGAAAGTTTGTTTTGATGACCCTGTGTCTGCCTTATTGATACATCCGAGGAGCCTGAAAGTGCATTGACACTGACAAGAGGTAAGATATGCCATTTGTTTTCTTCTTGTAGATTATCTATGTTCCCTTTTTGTACGTTTAAAACCATATAAATACCAATGGGACCTACAGCAGAACTACAACAGGCCAAGCAAACATTTGCATTATAAACAAAATATCATTAGCAAAGAATCAGCCGGTTTGGTGGTGTGTTTGCGATATTAACCCGTTAACAGACCGAGTCCAAGGTTTTCGTTCATTTTCTGTCCCCTATTAACGATAAGAAAAATAACAACACCACATGCAGCAAGTGTCACTTTCCTCGCTTTTTGGTTTGATCTCAATGAAGATGCTGGTATCTTATGGGACAAAATATAATGAACTTGCCCCCCCCCCCCCACCCCAACATCCCACACGTACTTAGCGTCGACAATCCAAGACAAAAATTAATCCATTTTCTCTAGTTACATGTAGCTCTCGCGACGAGCAGACATACTGTCGCATTTTTAACAGAAGAGGGCGCCATATCATTTTGTCTGATTCGTCACAAAGAGAATGCCATACTATTCTGCGAGTATATATATATATATATATATTATTTTTTTTTTGGGGGGGGGGGGGATATACATCGCAGTCGCAGAGAGTGTGGAAGATGCAAAGAAGCGATAACAAAGAGATGCAACATGAAAATATGTGGAAAGAGAAAGAAAACAAAACAAAGGGCAAAAATACTAGTGAAAAGAAACATTTAAAAGAAAGTATTGGTAGAAGCACTCTTGCTTTAAAATTGGACTGTTATTCTATTTTTTTCCTTTGTTTTAAAGCAAGCTTTCATCTCTCTCTCTTACTCACATGACCCCTGTCTATTTTCCTTTCTGTCTCTCTTTTTCGATCTCTTCTTCTCTCAATCACCTCTCTTTTTTTATTATTAAAAACTCTTTATATTATATCTTCGGCAACATACACCCCATTAAATGCTCAATCCAGGGGCAGATTGATTTATTTTCAGAAATGGAGAGGGGCACGCCCAAAGACGTTTTGAATATATTGAAGTAGGGAGGTACGCCCAAGCCCCTAAACCCTCTACCAAGTTGCACAGATCCACTAGAAGGCAAAATAAGCCCCACCAAATAATTCATTAGCCCTAGAATAGTGCATACCTCCCTATTACAATTTTCCTCAGGGACACGACACGGGAATGCCTCACTTTCGGGGACTTTCTTTTAGGGGGGGGGGGGGGGAGGGGCTTCACCCTAAAAATGGATAGACTCCCCTGGTGTCACAGTACTTGGGCATACCTCATACTTGCACAGAATTTTAAAATTATTAACTCATTGTTATGTTTACATTATGAATATTTTATTATCATGATTTTCCACTAGACAATATGGATATCGTCCTTAAAGAAACTCATCTAATCCTTTAACAGCACAGAAGACTGTTACAGCAGACTAAATATGTAGAAACAAAAAACTAAACATTTAGAACATGATTACTGAGATCCATGATTCAAAATTTGGCAAGATAAAAGGAACTGAATATCCTCATGCATCTAAACTATGTACAGGTTCCACTTGTATGCCTATCACATTATCATTGTCTCTACAAAAAAAAAAAAAAAAAAAAAAAGTTTCGGAATAAAAACAACCGCAACTACTTTTGTAAAATTCAACTCGAGGCCATTTCAACAGCCTTGTATGTCATCATTTGAAATGTGAGAACATTACAAAGACGTATTCCGTGATCCGAACAGGACATCTATGGGATATACAATAGGGATATTGAAATTGACCAAAGTTGATATTTCTAAAGTAGCTGCGATTGGCGTTAATATCACATGCACCAGAAAAGACAACTATTCGTTGGTCTAGCCTTATGATAAGTATCATCAAATGAAATTTACAATGTGTGGCTACAATGTACAGGTAGGTGATAAATAGTTGAAATACTAATACATGTAGTAATATTACTGAATGGAAGCTATTATACAAAAGTGCAAAACATGAAGAAAGAAATCACATTCATATTACCACTTATAGATATGCTTTTGAACATTGCAACAAAGTCATATAGAGCATGTCATTGTAAACACCAGTAGTGTATCCAGAAGTTGATATAACAGAGGGCTATTCCTCCCCAAATATGGGGCGGGGGCTCTAATGTCTAATATCTTTGGGAAGCCATAAAGAGGTACACAATCCATTTCATTAAAAAAAAGGAAGGCTCAGAATACGGGTAATGGTTGACTTCAAGCCATGCTGTTTATCCCACTAATCATATCAAATAACATACTTTCCATGACTCCATGTGCATGTATCTTGGCCCCATATGATGTTCAAGTGTTCAACTAATCCAAGTTGCCTTCATTTTTCACCTGGGCCTTCAAATGGAGAAGGAAGGGTACCCCGATTTCAGCACATCTCGGGGGGTGTTTCACAAAGATTCTAAGTCGAACTTAACTCTAAGTTGGACTTAAAAGTTATGGAGAGCCATTTGTAGCCTTAAAATAAAATGTATTCAAAAGCAAAAATTCAAGTATTTTAGACTTCTTGTTACATCCACATCAAGAACATGAGATCTCCTTGATAATAGAATATATGAATGTTTTGAATCAACATTATATGCCTTTTAAAATAGCTTTTACAAAATATTTTCAAAGACACTAATGGCTTTCCATAATGGTTAAGTTCAACTTAGGATCTTTGTGAAACACCCCCTGGACATGCCACTGATCATAGTACAAAACTCCTGTACTTCACATTAGCTAATAGTGACATACAGTGGTTAGAGCCACACTGTACTAGAAGCACTACCGGGTCAGCTGTAGCAGTATAGTCCTGTAACTTGCTGCTGCCCTAGCTGCTATTGGTTCTCGCATTGAGTCCTCCGTTTCCGAAGTGGGAAGTAGGTAGTGGGAAGTAGGTATTGGGCTATGCACTGATGGCAAGTTCACCACAAGAAAGTTTATCAGTTCAGTATCGCTTTAAAGGCCCACTGCACTACTGGTAGCTACTTGCGCCCTCTATATAACAAACAATGCCTAATCGGTGACCATTGGTCCCCCGTGATCCTCTTTTTCTTACGTTAACTGAGAGCTGAGTTGATGAGATAACCACCTGTCCAGTGACCTTGCAGAGCGGTCTAATCCCTCCTGTAAACTACGGCAGATAAGCTTTAAATCATGTTTACAATTATCAGTTGCTTATATATCAATGCAAAAATGAAGAATGTTTGGATGAAGCTATGATACAAGCGCGAGACAAATGCTGATATACAACATGATATTGCAGTAGGTGGTTGCGTAGCTCAGTTTTAAACAAAATGAGAGAAGACTTGTTTCATAATGATGTATGAAATGTCTCAAAGCATATAGCATATGATATAATTCCCCTAAGTTTAATCTTTAAAAAAATGATGGACATGATTGAAGAAAAAGTGTTTAAGATCGTTGCAGCTTTTCATTTATACACATATAGGGCAAGAGAAATAAAATTTGGCAATATCACAGATGATTCATAATTGACACAACAATTTTCCTATTTACAATACTGTCATTACATCTTTTTATGCCAAACAAAGGACCTTAAATTCTTTTTATTTCAGAGCCCACAAAAATGAAGATTTATTTAAAAAAAATTAAATTCAGATAAATGTGTCTCAGAAATGTCTATACAATTATTTCAAGATTATTTACATTCGTCATCTGTGGTGGGGCCCATATGGAAGTAGAATTAAATGAAAACACATTTTGTTTTGCTGATAAAATATTACTTGGTGATAAAACCATAAGACCCAAATTTTTCATTAAAAAAAAACACATTATATGTTCATCTATTTACCTATTGCTATTCAATACAGGAAAAACAACTTCAGGAGGTGGAAAATACTTGTCAATTTTTAATATTTGTCTACAAAATTTCACCAAACCCTCCCCCCCCCAAAAAAAAACAACAACAAACAAACAAACAAACAAAAACAAACAACAACATAATTTTCCCCCAACAAATGTCACTAACTGTCTCTTACATTAAGATGATATCATAATACATTGCTTCTACAATGTAATACATGAACAGTTTTCCACTCTGTTGAATACCTAGCATTTTGAATGTAGAATGCTAGAGTAGAGATAAAGTGATGCGACAACTGTTCCACTCCCTGAAGTTGTTTTTCCTGTATCAAGTATCATAGTAGGTCTACACCTGGAGTTACTGTACAAGTACATCAAAATTGATGTCTCAATATTAGTCTTAAGCTTCGTTCACATACGGTACGCTGTGGTACACCACCTGGGCTTGTTCAGATATGGCACAGTAAACCGCTGCAAAAAAAAAAAAGCTACTGCTTTTGTTTAATATATGTAAATGAATTGCATCTATGCGTAGCAAAGGACTTGGGTGTATTTACTGAGCTCTGTCTTATAAGATACAAACAAATTAAATGAATTACTCTTTACGTCAATATGAAGAAACAAAAACCTGCTTTTTGCTTAACATTTCTGCATTGTAACACACACCAAGGTGTTGCTGTTTTTTTACACCAAGAAAAAAAAATGATGCGGCTTTCTGCATCAGATGTGAACAAGACTTTACCATCTTCGATCTCTAATTGGTACACATTCAGAAACTTGTTTTGCTATCACAGCATACTGGCGAATTTAAAGTCGATTTCTTTTTAAATCTTGGCCTCATAAGTTTCATTTTGGTAACTTGTAGTGCAGACTGGTTAGACTGTACATAAGATACCTTGTTAGTAGTCGATTCACGTGAATGAACTTCTAATCACCTAATGACTAATAACATCGAGGAGACTGACGATATATGTGATTATTCATTATAACAATTCCATAAAGCACATCCAAGAGAATTTTCCATCGGTCCAAAATAGCATGACTACCTTGAAATCTTGATAAAAAGGGAAGTTTTCAACTTAAAGGTCTGTCAATAATGTTAAATTTCTGGAATCGTGGATAATAAAAGTCTTTCTGGGAGCATGTTTGGAAGAAGATTTTATGCTTAAGACATATTGGATGTAGGAATAAGGAGCAGATGAGAGAGAACATCTCTAAGACTGTTATCTGCATTCTCCAAAGGTGCAGGGGTTGTTGGTACACCTGGCACCGGAGTAAGAGGAGCTGGGTCAGGCAGGGGGATTGACTCAGGGGGATCAAACGATGGTATCTCGACATCTTGGAGAAGTCGTTCTTTCTGCTTTCTGAGAGATACAATGGCAAACTTCTGGCTGATTCCTAGCGTGTTCATGAAGAAAAGTTTGCACACGTTCTCTTGCCAGTTGCCTAACTTGAGGGTGTACTTCATGTGCACCTTGCGATTCAGCTTCAACTGAGAGGCTGGGAGCGTACGCTTCTTGACGGCATTCTCTTCGATGCAGTCCTCGATGTACTGACGCTTCTTCTCCCATGTCATTTCCTTGCTCCAGAACATATTGAAGATCTTTTCCCGCAACTCCTGAGGCACACGTTCCAAGCATTGTTTGCGACAGTTCGTGCAAGGCTCCTTGATCTTGCGGGCTGGGATGACGTTGCCTTTGTCGTTGACGTAGGTCTGACCGGCACATCGCATGTCTGATGTGTCCCAGGTGCGATGCCTTGGCTTGGGATGACCAATATGTCCAGAGGTTGATGGAACATCTTCCAGCCGTTCATCATCCTCATCATCCTCCTCTTCTTCATCATCTTCATCATCATCGTCAGAAACTGGCATCTGTTCTGGGGGTGCCAAAAGACCAGAGCATTGAGGGTCAGCAGCTACCAGAGCCTTCTTTGTTGGAGTTGTGTAATCATCATCAGCATCCTCCTCCTCATCATCATCTTCTTCACTCGATGGTCTATACTCTTTATCCTTAACCACAGATTCATTGTGCATCTCATCGTCTTCAGTCTCCTGCCTCTCACTCCTTGAAGTATCTGCAGAAGAAGTGGTCCCAAAGGATTCCTCAACAGCTGCTTGTTTTGAAGAACCGGCTGTGTTTGTGCTCACCTTCCCAGACTTACTGTCTGCCTGTTTCTTCCCAGCCTGCCTGGTTGATGAACTTGGAGTGCTAGCTGTCAACATCTTACTTTCCTCAAAGATTTTCATCTCCTCGCAAAATACCCTCCTGTACATGTAAGTGCTTGCTGGCTTTGTACCTCGCAGCCAACAGCACTGGCGATAAGCACTGTACATCTTGGAGACGTTCCAAGACCAGCCTCTGGTTGAAGAATGTGTTTGATACTCTCTGCCCTTATTCGGATCAGCCCAGCAGTTGTAGATGATGTGCTGTCTGATCTCTTTGGCTGCAGCAGGGGGTAACTTGGCAAGGGTCCCACACTTCTTTGTCTTGGCTGGATCAAACTCCCCATTTTCGTCTTGCTTTGCAATGCAAGAGGCTATGAAGTTGTGACTGAGGCCCAGGGTGTTAACAAAATACTTGCGGCATACAGACACTTTCTTATCATCCACCTCAAAGAAATATGTGAATCTCTGAGGTTTGTTGAACCTGGTGGCTGCCCTAGACCTCTTCATTCTTATCCTAGAGTTGACAACAGGCCTTGACTCAGTGCAGCTAAGGACATACTTCTTCTTATCGGTCCAGTCTTTATTAGGATCCCAGAAGTAGTCAAAGAGGTTTTGTCTTTGCTCTTCTGTGATACGCTCTGTGCAAGTTTTCTGGCAGTTCTCACAGGGTTCCTTCATCTTCCTTGATGGCCTGACTTGTCCTTTGAAGTTCACATACTCCTTTCCCCCAAATCTCAAGGCATGGTACTCCCTTAACTTGTCTTTCAGGCTGCATTTTGGCTTTGTATTGCGGATGCGCTCCTGTTCCTTCTGCCAGAGCTCTTTGATGAGGCACTCAAGAGCACTGACCTGAGGTGCAGGGGTGTAGTCCAAAGGGCGCTCTTCATTCCGCGGATCACCTGGTCCATCCAACCTCTGCTGCGATATCCTCAGCTCCTCATTCATCAGCTTTCGATAGAAGTGCTTCTTCACCGATGGTCCTTGATGCATCTCGCACTCCTGAACGTAGGAATCGTACATCTTGGGAAGGCTAACCTGCTCCTGTGGTCTGTTCAAGAGATGCGCCTGAATATGTCTCCTCGCCTCTTGTTTCAGTTGGTAGGGGATTTGGTTAGCAGCTGGATGCCGACCTCGTCTATCAGGTATCACTTTCCCATCCATCGTCTTTTTATGCAGTGATATGATGACAAACTTCTCTCCAACCGCAAGTGTGTTGAGAAAGAATCTCTTGCAGACCTTTTCCATGATGCCATCACAAGTCAAATGGTAATGAAAACTGATCCTGCGAGCTTTCTGATCCATTTCTTTCTTGGACCTCCTTCTCTGAATCGGTTGGGGCACAGCATGCTCGATGATGTACATTCTTCTGAATGTCCAGTCCTTGTTAGTATCCCAATAACCATCAAAGATCTCCTGCCTCTGCTCTTCGTTGAATCTCTCAGTGCATCGCTGCCTGCAGTTCTTACACGGCTCCTTCATCTTCCTAGCTGGCATGATGCATCCATTAGAATTGATGTACGGCTGTCCGGAATTACGCAACCTCTTGTTTGTATTCCTCTTCCAGGAGGCAGGATCTCGAGCTCTCTTCTTCGGTGGCCCGCCTTTGCTTTTCTTGGACCTTTCCTTCGGTTTGGGCTCTGCTGGGAGTGGGGCAGAGCTCTTTGGGAGGTACTGTGGCTGGTTAAAGGTCACCAGACCTCCTCTGTTATCATCAAAGCTATGGAGGTTGATTTCATCCCCACCACTGCTGCTGCTGCCTCCCCCTCCTCCCCCTCCTCCTCCTAGCCCAGGTGGTCCTATGTACATTCCTTGCATCCGCTCATGGTGATGGAGGTGGTGGTGATGATATCCATCTCCCTGGACCTGAGGAATTCAGCATAGAGGAAAACAAAACATACAAATTAAAAATGGATAAATTTCCAACATCTCTAATCAATGCATATATTTCATGCAACAATTGTCTTTATAGAAAGAAGCAGAGTACAGCACATCAAGTAATGCATTGGCATATAATATGGAAAAGTATATCAAGTAATGCATTGGCATATATACATGTATATATGAGAACGAGAGCAGCCATTTTTTTTTGTAAGTTGATGTTTGTATGCATAATTATCAGGAAATGATTCTGGAATAAGTTATCAATAATTGTCTTTTTCATCTTAAATTATGAAGTAGATAAGTCAGCGGACATAGTTTGCAGTTCAAGTCCTCCACTATCCAAATTCTAAACTTAAATCGTGTACCTCATCCCAAGACTACCCCTGAACCAATTCCAACACAAGTCCTAACCCTGGGTGACTCTTTGATGCTTTTAAGCCTCAAGGAATGGAAGTACATGTATGATCATCAAATGTCTGAGCACTGGGGGTGTTTCACAAAGATCCTAAGTTGAAGTTATCTCTAAGTTGGACTTAACAGCTATGGAAAGCCGTTAGCATCTATGAAAATATTTTGTAAATGTTATTTTAAAAGGCATAAAATGTTGATTCAAATCATTTATATATTCTATTATCAAGGAGATTTAATGTTCTTACTGTGGAAATTTAAAAAAAAGTCTAAACTACTTCTATTTTCGCTTTTGAATATAATTTATTTCAAGGCTACAAGTGGCTCTCCAAAATAAGTCCAACTAAGAGTTAAGTTTGACTTAGGATCTTTGTGAAACACCCCCCTGATCTACCCACCTGGTAATGAGGCATGTAGTGCTGCTGGCTAGAGGTCTGGGGCTGGTGGTAGTCGTCGGGTGGGAGGTGGACACTGCCCGTGTAGCTGTTGACCACCTTCAAGCCCTCTTCAGCTAGCAGGGGCAAGTAGCCCATGTTCTGATGAATATGCTGAGGATTCATCTTTTGGTCTGGACAGAGAGTGAGAGAAATAAAGAAAATTTGATTTAATCACGAGCAAGTAAACGTTAGTAAAAATCCACAAATGAATGAATCCACCAAAGGAAAGGAATTTGGAAAATGTATACCTCTGCTAGTATAGATATTAATATTAGCTTTTGCACCAAAACATGATTTGCTTTTGGTGGTGTAAGGGTTTCCTAGTGGCTACAGACCTGCCAAGTTTTCGAAACTGCAATATGGGACAACTGTAATCAACAGTCCATTAGAAAGAAGCGAGCAATGCTAGGGGAGCGTATTAAGGCCGGGGGTCCAAGGGGCTGTCTGAGACCTCGTAAGCTCATGGGTTTGGGCACTGTCAGGCATGTAGGAAAGGTTATCCAGAGGCCTAAAATAAGGAATTGTAATGCTTAAGTTTACAAAAACTGGGCATTATTTTATTTTTTATTTTTTATAAATTTGTATATGGAAATTGCAGAATGCAGGACATCCCACATTTTCAGGATTTTGTTCTCTCTCCAAAATGTGGGATTTTTTATATGTAATATCCTTTATTTCCTTTATACTCCTTAACCATTTAAATACGGAATTCCATGTAAACTTTCTTTGAGGTTGATTTGATACGTTTGACACTTTAAAATGATTTATGAAAATAATATACATGTATTGTATTTATTCTTGGGAACTTACAAATGACAAGGCTCAAGCTATATGCTTTCCAGTAAGTTCCCATTTCATTTCATAATTTTGAACTTACTGTCAACTATTTCAACTATTGTGCTAACACAGTTGATATGAAATGTAATAAATTTGAATCAATCAATCAATTACTGATTATATGTTTTTTCAGTTCTCCCAATTCAATGTTTCATCAGATTATTTTTTATTTTATTTTCTTTTTGTTTGTTAAAAAAATGAAAGAGAAACCTTTTTTAGAACATGAAGACAATGCAAAAAATAATGCACCATTTCCCATCCCTAAAAAAAAAAAAAAAAAAAAAAAAACCTCTGGAGACCGTCCCCTCCTACCCCCCCCCCCCCCCCCCCTCCCCCCCCCAACCCACACACACACAAATAAATGCACACACATAGACTACATGACACAGGCTGACTTTTTTCTTCTTTTCGTACTTGCTTGTCAGAGAGATTTAGCTTAATTCAGCCACTGGCATAGTTTTGCATACACATATACTGTCTAAAAGTCACTCGTCATTCTCATGTGTTATCAAATGGTCAAAGAAATTCCAAGCCAAGGGCAGGCCCCAGCTTCAAGCCTATGCCACGGTACCATACACAATTTTCAATATGTCGGACGAATTAAAATCTTTCTCTAAGTTTCTGTTATCACGCCGATTTTCAGACAGATTGCCTCAAAATATTTACCATATCCACACAAATATCAATGTAAGCATACCTCTAAGATATTATCATTCTATTTGTATTCTTATACTTACGGCAAAGATGCAATCCACGGCCTAAAACGGTTGATTTGACCTTTCAGCAAAAGCAAGCAATAACGCCCTTTGTGTAGCTGACAACAACCCACACGCGTTTGTACGTGTACTTTGTATGTAGCATTTCCGTTCAATATGCATTACATGCTACAACGCATTATCTCCTCGCAATATGTTTTGAGCGCACGGGTGTGGCTAGATGTGGCCTTTTACTCACACGTTGATAGTCTCTGCAACAAGACATTTGATTCGCGTTGGAAAATAATATTTCAGATAAATTAATACAATAATATACTTGTAAATTGTAATATACATCTGATAGACAATCTACACAAATCCATTATTTATTTGTATTTACTGTCTGCCTATCTTATCAATATAAATGCAAAAAAAACTAATATATGATTATATATTATTCATTTGTTTACAATTACGGATAGACTATATAAAAATGGTATTTTCTGTCACGTCTGTCTGGAAACGGTAGACTCCAAAAACTGTCTGCTATAAGTAGATGTGATACAGTAAATAGATATTTGGCAATCAGCTTACGAAAATGTATGTAAACGCTGTACTAAAGGAACGGTCTATGCTAGACCTGCATCATATGAAATATATATACATTTTATTTTAAAAAAAATAGACAATCTATACGGCTTTTAATCTGGTATCTAATATAGTGGTGTAAAGGGCTTCATTTTTTTTGCCCCTGCGACTTTTCCCTGCATATTATACGGATAGCATTCTCATGCTTCATAGTCAAGTTCATCTCCCCCTCCCCCCCCCCCCCCCCTTCCCCCTCCCTTCCCCCTCTCTCTCTTAGTCACTCACTCTCTCTCTCTCTCTCTCTCTCTCTCTCTCTCTCTCTCTCTCTCTCTCTCTCTCTCTCACACACACCCTACCTCCTTCCTTCTCTTCCTCGGCCATCTCTCTCTCTCTCCCTTTCTCTGTCGATCCACATGGTTTAAGTTTCTCTCTGTTTCCCTGTCTCTATCCATCTGTATCTCTTACTTTCTCTAGCTGTCCCTATCTATCTGTATCTCTTTCTTTCTCTTCTCCTACCTATTTCCTTCTTTCCCATCTCTCTCTCTCTCTCTCTCTCTCTCTCTCCCTCTCTCCCTTTCTCTGTCCATATCAGACAAGTATAAATTAACTTCTCTCTCTTTCCCTGTCTCTATCCATATGTATCTCTTTCTTTCTCTCGATCTCCCTTTCTCTGTCCCTATCCATCTGTATCTCTTTCTCTTCCCCTATACATACTTCCTTCTTTCTCTCCTTTCTCTAGCTGTTCCTCAATCCATCTGTATAATTATCTATCTCTCTCTCTTTCTCTCCTAGCTACCTCCTTCCTTCTCTCCCATCTCTTTCTCCCTGCCTCTTTCCATCTGTATCTCTTTTTGTTCTCTCTCTCTCTCTTTCTCTTCCCCTACCCCTTCCTTCTCTCCCATCTCTCTCTCCCTTTCTTTGTCCCTATCCATCTGTATCTCTCTCTCTCTCTCTTCCCCTATCCATCTGTATCTCTCTCTCTCTCTCTTCCCCTATCCATCTGTATCTCTCTCTCTCTCTTCACCTACCCCTTCCTTCTCTCCCATCTCTCTCCCTTTCTTTGTCCCTATCCATCTGTATCTCTCTCTCTCTCTCTTCCCTATCCATCTGTATCTCTCTCTCTCTTCCCCTATCCATCTGTATCTCTCTCTCTCTCTCTTCCCCTATCCATCTGTATCTCTCTCTCTCTCTCTCTCTCTCTCTTCCCCTATCCATCTGTATCTCTCTCTCTCTTCACCTACCCCTTCCTTCTCTCCCATCTCTCTCCCTTTCTTTGTCCCTATCCATCTGTATCTCTCTCTCTCTCTTCCCCTATCCATCTGTATCTCTCTCTCTCTCTCTTCCCCTATCCATCTGTATCTCTCTCTCTCTCTTCACCTACCCCTTCCTTCTCTCCCATCTCTCTCACTTTCTTTGTCCCTATCCATCTGTATCTCTCTCTCTCTCTCTTCCCCTATCCATCTGTATCTCTCTCTCTCTCTCTTCCCCTATCCATCTGTATCTCTCTCTCTCTTCCCCTATCCATCTCTCTCTCTCTCTCTCTTCCCCTATCCATCTGTATCTCTCTCTCTCTTTCTCTCTCTCCCCCTCCCTCGTTCCTTCTCTCCCATCTCCGTCTCTCTCCCTTTCTTCATCACCACAATGTACCCCACCCTCTCAAGAGCCCCAAGTAGCCAAAATTTCAACCACAATCATAGCAAGCATTTATAGTGACAGAAGTCCATAGGCATTTAATATTGACATAAATTTACACGACATTCACATATAAGTACAGAAATACTATAATACATAGAAATAACATATTCGCATGATTTTTTTGTTCTTTTATGTTTAAAGCTTGATTTTCGATTGCATACGACTTGAGGAAAAAAAGATAATACAAAAATTGTTTCAATTTACCCTTTAGAAAACATATATATCTGTTTGTTCAATTTCCTAAAGCTCAAAAAAAAATAAGTTTTGATCTTTTTGTCACTGGTAAAAACACAATAAGGAATAAAAATGGAATGTAAGAAAAATAGAACAGTCTAGTAACTGTTTCTGCACACGTGTAGTAGTGAGTTGTTGAATAAAAAAGTGCAAAAATAGAAGGAAAATCATCTAAATTAAAATGCATGCTAATAATCTACTCTTTAAACATGTTCAATTTCAATAAAGTGGACGGACATAATGCTATTTCAAAATGAAGCTATATCTTATCTTTTTTCAAATACATCCAGCTGGAATTTTACTCATGCTTTTATTTTTACAAATCTACATGTATACTCGTCCTGGCACTAGGTCAGGTAATATATATTATATAAGCCAAGTTTGATGTATCCTGGCCATTCATATTCTGAATGCATAATACATGATATGTACATTACCAAACTCCAATAAATATACCGTACCTAGATCTACCAAGGGGTTACTGTAATGCTAAAAGGACATAAATGCTATGTACTACGTTTGTATGCAATGCCCTTTTGGTTCTCAGAGAAGTTTATTTATATCACTCCAACAAACAATATGTTACAAGTGGATGTGGGGTATACTGTCTTGGCATATTTCCAAATTGTGCATTGTATAAGGGTTTATCTTCAGGGGCATCAATAATTCACTACCATGCATAAAAATTGAGTAGACATGTGTACTGCATGTTTCACTCCTAAATGAGAAATTCAGAACGTAGGAAAGACCAAATAACCTTTCATCCCAAACCCACAAATAAATTAAAATAATAATAACATGTTGTTCTTGGGCTAATCAAATGTTGAGCGATGTCTCTTTGTGCTCGAAAATACAAGGAGCTAGGATTATTACCCAGGGTTGAGCAGAGCTGTCCCGATAAGGTGATGAAGCCCTGATACCTAGATGATAGACCCGATCGAGGGTCACTGCACTATAAGGCCCCATAAGCAATGGTAGTAATGACAATAAAGTCGATATGCACAGTAATAATTTTCAGCATAGAAAAAAAACTCCATTACAAGTCCTGAATAAGAGATAAATGCTAATCGTCTGCTGTTCGAGAGCCAGAACGGCACTAACACACACACTTTTACAAAAAGTATGGTTTATCCCTTTCTGCCACTCAACAGCCGATATGACAGCATCCAATAACTCAACCATACGTGCAATGATACAGTTGCTGGCATATACTGTATGACAAATCAGCATACATATCCTGATCAATGTGTGTGAGACCGAGTACCTTATATTGCAAACTGTGATATTAATATTGTAAATATCGTACTACAGTAGTAGATAAAGCTCACACAAACTGTAATTTTTTTTTTCTTCAATAAGAGGATAATTTGCCTGGTGAATTATTGAAAAATTACATTACCGTACTGCATAAGTAGATAGTTCTCTAACACATGATACTGAACCTTCACATCAAGTGATTGTAATCATGATCACCACAACAAAATGTGTTTACTAATGAAACATGCAAGAAGCACTCTCTGACATTATTATATGAAAATACTAGATATCCCTAGAAATAGTAGATGTTCTTATACTATACTGACCAAATAACAGAAGCCTCTTCTAATAGCGAAAAATATGATGAAATAAATATTTCCTTGAATAAGAATTCAATTTACCACACACTGATAGCATATTATATGTTATAACACAACTCTAATTTTCCTAGATCAAAATTACATATAAAAATATTTCCGAACAGACACAACTAATTCCAAAAGAACCAGCAATTCATTCCTTGGCGCATAATTTTGAATCACAAAAATATGTCTTAGTTCTATATTCTGTCCACACATGATTTTAAGGCAAAATGAATTGAATTTTTTTGTCCATGGCACTTGCATTTTGTTCATTTGTTCCTGGAAAAACACAGCTTTCCATCTGACATGTGCATAGTTTAACATTTTTTTTTTTTTTTAAAGATGCTTGGAAGGAGTTCTTTGCATAGAGGTGTCATCTATTTCCAGGCATCAGGCAAAAATCTAATCAGGCAATTTTCACTTTTCACTGTTTTCAATGTTTAATAATATCTAAATTTCAAGCTTCCTTGGAGAATATTGTAAAAAGGTACAGGGCATTTAAAATGTAAATCTTAATCAAGTTTAACTCTACTTCATAATTACTTGCATAGATGTACATCTATAGCTATAGCTACAAAAAGGATGACAGAGTCCCAATAGTACAATCATATAATTTAATCAATCAATTTAAATCTATTTTAGCACAGCTATTTCAATATACTATGTCCAATTTGAAACATACGAAAAATTATCTATTTTGTAATGAAATATCACATCAAATGTAAAGGCAGTTTATACTGTTCATGATTCTAAATGTGCTCCATCCACCTTCACTGCTATCTTAAAAATCTATGACCAAAACTTTACCTCCATCGATCACTCTTTTTTTCCTTTTAATCTTCAAATTATTTCCCGATTTTCAAACCACCAATAACATTTTTATATAATTATTTTGTGTGTGTGTGTGCTTAAAAAACAATCAAATCAATAAGATGTGCTTTGTTTTCTTTTTTGAATGAGTATCAATTCACAGCAATGGATGGGATGTATAATCTCTAAATTTTTCATGACGGAATGAATAAATGATTACATAATTAGACGAGAGCCTGGGATGTATCTAGACTCGCTCCAGATGTTTGATT